TTGAAAAAAATATTGCAAAGGAGAATGCCCATACCTCGTCCAACATAAAAAATAATGGTTTTGTTTATGTGTATAATATACTTTTTTAAACACATTTTATTACCCGTATTAAAACAATATCTTAGAAGCATGATAAATTACTAACAATAAAATTACCTATTTCCGTAAAAAGTGGCAGATCCGTCGAATGAAAGTAAATTTTCTATGAGTCTTTCGTTCCGTTACAGTTGCCAGCTATTTTCGTAAACTGACAATGAGCATAAAATCTTGTTTACCTATTTAGTTTAAGCTGCTGTCTGGGTAAACAAGATTATGGTAGTAGAAAATAATTAAAATACTAAAAATAATTTCTATTATATCATTATATTCTATTATATAATTTCAATTATGTCTCACTCCTGTTTTTATTAAATAAATATTGTGTATTTTAGAAACTCAAAACATTCAATTTATGCCAGCACACTGAATTTTGGAATGTCAGTGTCTTGTCAACTTCAATATTCTGATCAATATTCTGGCAGTTTTATAATTAATTTATTACGTCTATATCCATTGACAGTATTAAGATGTGTATGTTGTAGCGTTTGACATTTATAGTGCCTAACCATATATGTATCTATAGTGCTTAACACAGTTCATAATTTTTGAATATTTTGAAACAAAATATTGTTCCTAGTGTATACTTAACCAGAAACTACGCTAATTAGTTTTGATGCACGTCAGTACGGATCCCCACACAAATATGGGCATGTTACCTTACTTTTGGCATATAGATATGTGCTTTCCAAACCACGGAGGGGTCTCAATCTGTTAAGAATGGTCACCTATCCATAGACTGACCTGGATTGTATTTTTTAACGTTGCAATGTGTTAACCTACTCGGTTACCACTTAGCCACGGGCCCCTCCCCCTGAGGTATACCACCGTGTACCATAAAGAGGTTTTACCTTATAGGTGGTGACCAATGGACATACTTGCAACTTAGAGGCACAGGAGCGTTCTTGTCACTCCGGTCGATCCGGTCCAAAAGACTCTCCCACGGATAATTTTTGTTTCACAAATCTGTAATGTAGTCAACATTACAGATTTGTGAAACAACTCAGGATAGTTTACAATCAAAATACATTAAAAATAAGATGAAAGATAAATCTACTTGAGGTGGGCGTTAGGCTGCCACTGACGCAAATAGATAATTAGTTTTTTTTGGATATTCCAGTTGTTTTCAGGTAAAGATATTTGGTTTATTTTATTCAATTTAACAGATAGCAAATGAGTGATTTATTTTTGTTTATTCATTTATACTAATCACATTAAATTAGGTGTAATCTGACATGAACTTTTTATTTAAAAGTTCATGTCAAGCAAAGACTATCATTAGGTTGATTGATGACAATGACAACATTACATGAAAAAGTATCAGACCGTTAAAAACGAATTGCCTAAACTTTTAATATGAAATATATCAGAAACTTAAACAAACAAATTATTTTGGATTATAATTACCTATTGGGATCGTTAAGGTTAACAAAGCAAAGTGATGCAATGATGTTCGAACTGCTTCTGTAGTGTATCAGGTATATTCATCAATGAAAAAGAAGTTCGTCTCTTCGTAATTATGCCTGCACCACGCCGCTTACTACTACACTGAGAGTTTTCTACCACCGTCAATCTGAAATCTTTTTAATGTGATCTTTTTATATTAAAGTATTCCAGAAATGTAAATCTGTCTGAATGTTTAGAAAGAAATGTTAATATTAATGTGATATAATTAGATCAATAGTATCTATCTACGAATATATGTATAATATGTAAAGTAATGAAACAAAAGATGGTGTTGGTGGTGGTACCACGAGACAAATTATTTGGTAAATGTTTGACGTATGTGCCAACACTAGTGAGTGTATTCCAATCAATTTCAAATGTGCCTTTTATTTATCACTGAAACTTTTTCGCTCTCTCGCTCGATGTTCCATTTAATAAAAGGAGTCGTTCTGATTTACGTGCTCACTTTTATACGTTACCATTTAATTTATTTTAAAAATGGTTGGCGGAAGTTGTCCTAAAAAAAACGATGCACCCTTTCCCATGAGGTGTGGCAGCAATATATAACACTATTAAAATGGTTCTTATATTGATTTTTAGTTTTATTATTATCAGTACTAACAAAAGTTATTAAGACTGCTGATCGATAATAATGTGAGTAGTAGTAGTAGAAGTAATAACTCATTACTTGAATTAATCAAAACTGATCATTATCACAAAAGAATAAGAGAATGTGAAGGCACGAGTACTATCTTGATAACAAAAAAAAAACAGAAAATAATTACTGTTCGTTTTATACCCATTTAAAAAATAACTAAAATGTATACAGTGTTAATATATGCATAAACGACAACTGAAACACGAACTCTAGTAAGTCATCACGCCTTGTCTAGTCTTAGCATTACCGTGACCGTGTCAACGAACTTATTTATTTCCCTCAAGTCGGCGTATTATATGTAAAACTAATCTATTAAACAAATAAGAACCGTTTTGTATTATATTTATTTAAAAACCTTTACTATTAATTTGCCTTGTGTTGTAAAAGGAACTCTTATAATAAATTCATTTGCGCTAGCAAAGCTCTTCTGCCATACTACAAGGAATAATATTTTTTGTTGCGAGTGCAAGGCTTTGCTTCTAATGGAAACTTTCGCTGCAGCATCAAGCTGTCAGAGCTGTAACTTCTTTAACAGTATTTCATAGTTGTTACTTTCTTTATTTGTCTTAGTGTTTATTTGTTTGATTGTTTCTCTTTAGTTAATTTTTGACCGACGTTATCAATTCGTATGTATCTTTTGTTTCTTTGATATTTCGTAACATTAGCTTTTCCTCCCATTATATTCTCAAAATATCAGATCTTAAATGTAAATACATGTGTAATAGTTATAAAACATTTTCGAAGACCGGATGGCGTAGTGGTTTATGCGGTCGCCACGCCGCTCACTACTACGCTGAGTGTTGTGGGTACGATCCGCACATGGGACAACACTTTGTGTGATCCACAAATTGTTTTTTGTGTCTGTTTCATTAATGTTTGTAAAGTCCCCCGCGACACAGGATATATTTCTAATGCGGGAGTTGTCTTTTTTAAAGAAAAGATTTAAAAAAAAGAAAAAGATTCCAAAGGTCGCGGGTTAGATTCCCGCTCAAGTCAAACATTTGAGTGCATGAACATTCAATGTTTTATTTGGTCTGACTGTTTCTGTGTGTACGTATGTATTTACAAATAAAAAGTATATATGTATTTATATCAGTTGTCTAGTACCCAAAGTACAAGCTTGCTTAGTTTGGGACTAGATGGCGTTCTGTGAATGTGGTAAATTATTATATTATATTATTAATTTTCTATTTAAGTCATGTCTTGTTAAAACATAATCTGATATCAGTACTTAAACCATTTGGTCAATGAGAGCTAAGTACCTGTTGCTGACCGAATGCCTGTAAGCTAAAATTGGCTGGTATGTAGTTGTTTTAGTTGTTTAGCTGCGGTTTTGTGTATAACATCAAATTCGAGCTTAAAATTCATATTCCATTATTATTTATATTCAAACTATTTACATGTCCACGAATGGGTTGAATCACACAACTAATAATATATTCTATGGTAACGAATAAAGTTCTGTATTTGACATTTTTTTTATTTGAGGTTAATAAAACAATACAATTTTGAACTGATAAATATAACGTTTGGGTTTATTCAGAATTTACATTTTGCTATGACATAGTCTCTTATTATGTGTTTCAGAATATGTTTTTTTTTATCACTTCTATTCTTACAAGAACAAAGGATTCTTTAAACTGTTATCGCAGACTGCACGGATGGCGTAACGGTTTAAGCGGTCGCCACGCCGCTCACTACTACGCTGAGTGTTGAGGGTCCGATCCCCATATGGAACGACACTTTGTATGATCCACAAATTGTTGTTCTGAGTCTGGGTGTTCTTTGTGTCCGTTTCATGTGTGTTTGTAAATTTCCCCGCGACACAGAATGTATTCCTAATGCGAGAGTTGTCTTTTATACAAGGTGGGCCAAAAGGAGTCATCCGATATTTTTTGGCTCTCATTTTTTTTCTGAATAAAAAACTTCAATTCTGTTTTTTGATTATGTTTATTTGAATCTTTAGAATTTTATTGGTAAAGTCGAAAAGATTTGACACAATTGATTGCTATACGGGCTAGTTTTATGGCATTTTTCATCACTTCGGCGAGAACTTCATCATCATCATCATCATCAACAGCCTATACTAGTCCACTGCTGGACATAGACCTCTCCTTAGAAAGGAGGCCAGAACTTCGGGCGACAGATTCTCGCACTCGTGTCTAATGTTGTCCTTGAGGGCTTCCAGGGTCTCGGGCTTGTTCACGTAAACACGGGACTTCAAAAAACCCCACAAAAAAAAACTGGAACGTTTAAATCGGGCGATCTTGCGGGCCAGTGCAAATCGCCAAAACGAGAGATGAGGCGACCCGGGAACGCCGCCTTCAGAATATCGGTTGTGGCTCGCGCAGTGTGCGCCGTTGCTCCGTCCTGTTGGAACCACATGTCCTCCAGTCTTAATTCGTTCAATTGCGGCAGAAAAAACTCGGTTAACATGGCCCTATAGCGCGCACCGTCCACTGTTGTCGTTTGACCAGCGGCGTCCTCGAAAAAAAATGGCCCGATGACTCCTCCAGCGTGAACAGCGCACCATGCAGTCACTTTGAGCGGGTGTGATGGCTCCTCGTGCATCACTCGTGGATTTTCAGTGCCCCAGAAGCGATAGTTTTGCTTGTTCACGTACCCGCTGAGGTGGAAATGAGCCTCATCGCTCATTATGATTTTGATCGAAAAGATTCGTCCTCGAGATTGAGGATGGCTTGGGCGTAGGTTACACGCGTTTGGCGGTCGACAGGCAGCAGCTGATGCACGGACTGGACTTTGTACGGGAACATGCGCAAGTCTTTGACCAAAATTCGCCTTAGGGATCACTGATGGCTAATTGCGAGGCACGGCGTCTGGTCGATGTTTCTGGCGACAACTCGACATCCTCGGCAACAGCGGCGATATTCTCGGCAGAACGGGGGCTCCGGGGCCGGCCACTCTTGGCAACGTCTCGTGTGGTTCCATACTCTTCAAGGTTGGTGGCCAAACGGCGCAGTGTTTGCGCAGTCGGTGCCGGACGACCGGGGAATCGGCGACGGAATTCGCGCTGCGCCAACACCACAGACGAATTGTTACACAAAAAAATAGACACGATTATTCCGCGTTCTTGGGGAGTGTATCGCTCCATGGCTTATTCACTTATATTCTACTTCTGTCTAGTTTACAAATGTTAAAACAGATTTGAAATTGGCCGCCATTTGCAAAAATAAGAGCATCTTCCAATAGGGGGATTTCTTTTGGCCCACCTTGTATATATAAAAAAAGGTGTTGTACTTTGTTTTCAACATCATAGCAAATGTCACACTGTAACCTATTTTCTTCAGCTATCTTTATTACAAGCCAGCTTCAAGCAACATGACGTACATGACATTTGATATTCATATTAAACTTTTGATTACTTTGATCCGTGTTATTAGAATTATGTTAATATTTAGGTAACATTAAACATGGATTTAATTAATTTGGAGCTGGTGGATCCTCCGTTTTCAATTGATAATAATAATTATTTACAAAACATAATCTGAATTTTTATAATAAAATAAAATTGAATTTGAAAGTCAGTCTTATTTTGTTCCTTATTTCCATATCAGTTTTAGATTAAGATTGGAGAATTCAACATATTGATCATATTAGCTATGGTCGAGATGTCAGTAACAACTGATACTGACTGTTATCGATTAACTAAGCCGAGATATCATTAAATTATTACTATTTTATTTAACAGTCGCTACCAAGTCGCTTAGACTAACAATTGCATGACATTTACAAATGGGAGGCCTCACATAGGACTTAAAATTAAATGAATTATTTACACAACTTTTAGCAATGGTTTTTAAATCATCATTGAAATTGTTGAAATATTTTCAATTTCAACGTGTCGCAATATATTTATTGTTAATTTAGAATATTTGATAGATGTATTGCGAAATAATTTTTCTAAACCTGTATACCTAAAACCTTCACCAAAAAATTATTTTTCCTAAAAAGCTTTTCATAAGACTCTCCAAAATAGTCTTGTCTGGTTCCGTCGTATATGCTAGATAACATATTTTATATAGTCAGTTGATGTCCCTGTCTTAGTGGCTTTTGCAATTACAGGACGGAAGGACGGGACAAAAGCCGAGGTCAAGACTCATCTTTTGAGTTTTTGACCTCCTGCAGTCTTAGTCTCGTTTCCCCATTCGAGTCTGACCGATATCGCGTCCTCTTGCTCTCGAACTTTGTCTTATTTCCTTAGCCTTTTTTTCTTCAGATGGATCTGAAATCGAATGTTTTCTGGACGAGGATTTTCGTCAGAAAGATAGGTGGCCTCACAACAAACTTTCCAAAACCCTATGCAATATCAAACATTCCGTCGCCCTTAAATAAACTTAATAATGAAGACAAAATAATTATAGATATGAAAATAACAATGCTTGGTCATACATAAACCATCGATCACTACGAGAGATACGTGCTAAAGTCATCATTAACAAAAACCATTACCATACCTTCAATCAATAAGAAAAATAAAACTGATTTACACCAAAAACAACCCAATACCATAAATCACATTTTGGGCATAAAAAAACAATATAAGTGTTAGGTTATTTTTCGCACAGATATTATTGTTTTAGGGACAAGAAGTTGGGGTAGGTTGATATTTAATTTAATGGGAGGCCCATATAAAAACATGAGGGACATGTTTAGGGCACACTTTGTCGATTTCTCTACTCGAATTATTGAAGGGGAAATGTCTAAGGGAATTTAACAACAATCGAAAATGTGCCTTAATATTTGTAAATAAGATTGGCTTTTATACGAATTAAATAAAGTGTATCCCTAGTGTCAGCTATTAAATTATCAAAGTAATCTATTGATAAAAATCTTGATGCAAAAGAAAATGTATCACTTACGCTTTCTTGAGTTAGGGGAACGAATAAATGTAATTGTAAGTGTAGACTGTTTTGAATTATATCGTGACGAAAACACTTGGGAATAAAACTTTCAAAAGGGATCATAAACTTATAGTTTCTAATTACTTTAGAGAATGTCTATGCTATCGTCTGGAACTTTCGTTACATTTACTGTTTTATATTTTATCAGATGGTACCCGCGACTTTGTTCGCGTAAAATTTGAAAAAAACGCTGCTCTATTGGTGTAGTACGGTACGCGACTGCAGTCCGTGGTTACGCCTTATATAGATAGCTGCCTGATCAAATCGGTGCAGTCGTTTTAAAGATTACCCGGATAAACAGACAGACAGCCAAAAAATATTGAAACTGGTTTTTAGGCATAGGTGTCGTGCAAATAACCGTTTGAACATGAAATTATTTTGACATTACAAACGGATATTACAATTTTATTTATTTGTATAGACTATGTCCACCTATTGTAGTGTATCATTCAGAATTAAATAATAGCAAAATATGTATCATTACTATGCGAGAATTTTCTCAATGTTTAATGTTTTGGAAAATATTTCACTTCTATTAAATGAAAATATTTCATTTCCAATTTTGATATACGAGTAAAACATCATTTTTATTCTATTTCTTATTTCAGTTTATATTTTAAAACTGCTATTTATATTATGATGAATGTTGTAATAATATATTTTTTTAATTCAGTTTAAAAATTAACATTTTTTCTAGAAAACAAACAAAGAAAGCAGCAGAAATGTATCAAACAAACAAAAATAGCGACCTAACCCATAACAGAAGCCCGTCCCCGTAAGGGACGAATTCTGAATTCAAATATTTCTAAATGTTTAAAAAACGTAGTTATAATTACTACATATTTTAACGTCATCCAAATAGATGAAATCGGGCACAAGCGAAAGTACCTTCTAATTATGAATTAAAGAACAACATGCTTCGTTATATGTTGAAACAAATAAAATAAAAACAAAAAATCGATTGAGTGTTTATGGTCAATAGTTTTTACAAGTAATTTTAAAAGAGAGGTTTTAAACGGGAGTTTCCCACTGGAATAGATGTAAATGAGGCGTAGACTAGAGAGACTAATTGCAAGTATTTTCATTTTATTTATTTCATAAAAGAAATGTTAAAATAAAATACCCTTGGTAGTTGTATTTCTAACTTTGATTGATCAGCCGTTGGGATTGCGTTCTAATTAAACTTTTTGTTTATGTAGTCCAATTGGGCCTAGGGGTGGATAAGGATAATACAGTGAAATAAATTATCCTGTTATTTCTTTTACAAAACTACTGGGTAGGCAAAGAATTGGTCTTTAGAACACGGGCTATAGAAATTGTATTATGAATGTATATATTATGTTATTGTATTGTATTGACGACCGGATGGCATAGTGGTTTGTGTAACGGACTGCTATTCCAAAGGTTGCGGGTTCGATTCCCGCTCAAGTCAAACATTTGTGTGCATAAACATTTAATGTTTGATTTGGTCTGGGTGTTTCTCTGTATTATATGTATGTATTTGCAAAAAAAAAAGTATATGTGTATTTATATCAGTTGTCTAGTACCCATAGTACAAGCTCTGCTTAGTTTGGGACTAGATGGCGTTGTGTGAATGTGGTAAAAATATATTATTATTATTATTAATGTCTTGTCAACATTATTCAATTTGTATTTAAAACATTGTTTTTGAATATTTGAATGCTCGGGCTACACTGCTCATAGGTCAAAAACCAGAAAGATGTTTTTTTTTTTTATGTTAGAGGGGGCAGACGAACACACTGGTCACTTGATGGAATGTGACCATCGCCGCCCATGAACTTCTGCAACTCAGGAGTCACAAACGCGTTGCCGGATTAGGAAGGAGTACGCTCTTTTCTTGAAGGTTTGAAGGGCGTATCGGTCCGGAAATACCGCAGACGATAAACCGTTTAACAGATTGGTAAGTTTTGATATTGTATTGGTGTTCTTTGATGTCAATTATGTGTGAACACTCGCTAAATCTCATTGAGATTTTCATTGAAATAAATTACTATATTACATACATAATTACTACTATATTTATGAATCTATATAATACTAGCTGACCCGCGCAACTTCGTCTGCGTCTCTCAATAGTAATAAATTTTCTCCGTTTTTGAAACATTCTTCATTGGTGCTCCGCTCCTATTGGTCTTAGCGTGATGATATATAGCCTATAGCCTTCCTCGATAAATGGGCTATCTAACACTGAAAGAATTTTTCAAATCGGACCAGTAGTTCCTGAGATTAGCGCGTTCAAACAAACAAACTCTTTAGCTTTATAATATTAGTATAGATTTAATTAATTAATTAATTAAATGCAGGTGCAGAAAGCTAAAATTTTAATTAAATCAAGAGCCTTAATAGTCCACTGCTTTACATAGGCCTTTCCTAAGAAAGGAGGTTTTGGCATACTATACATCGCGTAATGCACGTATAATGGCTGCATTTTTTTCTGAGAACTTCATAAATATTTCTTAGAGAACCAGTAAATAATGAATTAATTTTACAACCTTTTGTTCTTATTTTTTGCTGTGTTTACACTCATAGACTTCCGTGTAGTATCGAGGTATTTCACCTGGGTTCTCGTGTATCTTTATTTTTAATACGGCGCTCGACTATTTGTGTATTTAAATTTTTATTTCAAATAAATTGTAAACATGACGCTTTTAAAGGTTTAACGGTTTTATTTTGACGGGCCACTTCGTCTAGTGGTTGGTGACCGTGACTTCTAGGCCGGAGGTCCTGGGTTCGATTCCTAGCTTCAGTAATCTCTTTTCTTAAAAGAATATCCAAAGCGGCTCGTATCAAATTAGGTAGGTACATTAAATATAAATTACATTTTGTAATACATTTAATTTTTTTTTTTAATACAAAATAGTGTCCCACTGGTATTGGGCACAATTTCCAGGATATTAGTGGTAAAGAGACAGAAACCTTCTCACAATACATGCCATATCGAGAAGTACTATCTGCTGGATCAGGCCTTTAATCCATATAATATTAAAACCATCCATTTGCATTAACCAATAAAGACTCTAGTCGTGTTAAAACTTAAGTTCTAAACTTGACCATTCGTGCATACAACAGTCGGCAACTAATAGACTTTATAGCAGCATTAAATGCCAACATGCTAAGTAGTTCTAGTTCACGTTACTTGAACTATAGAACTAAAATAAACATTCTTGAA